TTTAAAAAGGCAAAACCATTTCATGAGATAGCAATACAGTCACAATTCTGAGGGCTCTTCCTGGAATCCAGAGCGCCCTTTGGCCTCAGCTTTCTCACCTATAAAATGAGGTGTTGAATCACATCTCTGAAGACTCCTTTTTGACATTTTCCATCTGACTCATTTGAAACCCTTAAAATATGTTGAATAACTTGCATTTGTTTTCTCTGTCAAGATGCAACTCATATTCCTTGCAAAACATTGAAAGCAACACCCCTCCAAATGTGGTCTGTGAAAGGCTCAGGTCCTCAAACTGGTGGTTTCAGATTTGCAATGTGATAAAGACAGAAACAGGCAGTAGAGGTTTAATAACTTCAGCAGCAATTTGGTGTTGCTATGAGACACAACTGCGGTTCATTTTTCTTATAATTCATTTCGATGGTGTTTTACCAAAACCTTAGTCCCCAGGGGATGGGGCAAAACACCTGCTCTTTATAAAAAATCTATTGAGAATTGCTCATCTATAAAAAATAAGGAAAAAATGTAAATCACTTTTAATCCCACCATTTAACTAAGCCATTTTTGCAAAATTAGGGGCTAGAAGGGGGACAAAGATTTGCTGTTGTCTATATCCATCTACATAGTAATTACATAGTTTTAATCACATGCATTTTCTAAGATAAAAGTATTTTAAGCACCAACGTGAAAAGTAAATAGGGGCAAAAGGTATGTTATTTGGACCCAGCAATACTGGCAACGTGAATTAAGCATCTCAGCTTCTAAATGCCTAAAACCATGGGAAGAAAGTTGGAGCTGAAAACCAGCTTTTGCCAGTCACCAACTTTTTTTAAAAGGCAACACTACCTGAGGATGGTTTTCATGACTCCCACAATCAAATATTAAAGCTGGTAAATGGAGAGGCAGATGGATACACGGTGCCAAGCATTAAGTTATCTTCATACATATTATAGGGATGGATTAAAAACAAAAGGGCAAAGTAGGATATTCAAAATGAGGGAGAAGGGCAATGAGAAAGGAACTGCAAAAATCTGTAAGACAAAAAGCAAACAGCTATTTTGGAAAATGTATATGACATAAATAGTACTTTTCCCAAAAGTCAAAGAAAGATCAGCATAAAGCATGCAGCACCCTAAATCCCCATCCCCACGCCTGACCTGAAAGACTGCTTCAGTATTTGGGATTGGAGTATGCCAGTGTGGGTCAAATGCTGATCACCCGACTTGCCTATTTTAAACTTAAAAGGGGGTAGGGGACTCATAGGTTTGTACTCTCCTGGTGGGGCTCAGGGACTTAGTCCCTCTGCTGGGCCCTTTCAGACTCGTGTGACTTCCTGTACTATGCAGTCCTCCACAAGTCAAAGATGGGAAACAGGCCTCATACCCCTTGAGGGTAGTAGGGAATCTAACAGCTTCCCAAGCTTTTAGGAAAAGTAGGAACTGATCCAGTTACCATCCTCTTTGCTTTGGGAAATCACTGTTGGCCTTTGCCTTCTGTCCCAAGGGAGTATCCAGCACTTTTATTTCAAGCAGAAAGCATTCCCATTCCTAATGCCCAGTGCCAGTCTCTCCCAGCTCACCCCCGTTCCCCATGGAAACCAGTTTTAGTCCACCCAGAACTGATAGTTAAAGCACACACAGTGGTTAGTGGGACTTTGAAGATGAGGACTTGAAATGGAATTGGCCCTGGGATATAGTCTCTGCTACGGAGACCTTTTCTCTGTTCTCAAGAAATGTCAGCCAAGACTGGACACCGGGAATTGATTCTGATTGTGGCGTTTTCCTCCCGATCGCGGTCATATCCCCCCTACCACCCCCACCCCCCGTCTGAGCCTTGTGCTGTGGGAATCGTTGTCCGGTTACTGCTTTCTGTTTCCTGAGGAGAGGCCGCAGGGAGGCTTGCTCAGGGCAGCTTTGCAACCAGGGTCACACGGTGCAGTTCAGCCGAGGCCCCAGCCAAGATGGTAGAACCGTTTTGGCGCTGTCCCAGGCCAGCTTCAGAAGTAGAGTCTGACACAAAGATTTTTGTGCAATGATTTATTGAGGCTAAAGTCTCAGGAGAAGGAAGGAAAAGAAGCAGGAAAGGGAAGGAGTGCGGCTAACCTGTAGTTTCTGGAGAGGTCTACCATCAGCCTGATCTCGTGGGGAGCTGTGGAGTGTGAGCTGCCCTACAGGTATCCCCCTCCAAGAAGCAAGAGGGTTAGTTAGACTGGTAAAACCCCCACATTAACTTGTCATGGGCTACAGGCTGCCCCTAGGGTGAAGCTTTCAAGTTCCAGAAGCCTCCAGGCCAGGCAGCAACCATCAGCCAAGGGCCGTCCTTCAGAGGAGGGTGAAGGTGTGAGCCCCCTGGTCTGTGGCAGCTGGGGTCTGGGGCTCTGGGTTCAGTGAAAGGATCCGGCCAGGGTGCCAGCCACACTGGCTATGGCAGCCAACACAGTTGGAAATGGAGAGTCAGTGGACTGATACATTATCTAAGGAGCAATTCATATCATGTACAGAGCCTGCCCTATCCTATTACGTTAGAGTATACATCAAGGGATGTCATCAACAAGGTATCATATTATTTGCTCAGACTGGATTATAAGGTAAATCTGGAGATCATTCATGGAAGTCACTTAGTTCGGCCCTTACATTTTATAGGAGAGAATTAGGTCAGAGTAAACCCTTCCTGGGAAACTGCTCTGGTTCTCATACCTCTACCTTTGCTGGAATTCAGCCCAGCTTGTACTTCTCAAACACCTGCTCTACTATAAGACACAGTGTGAGGCACTGAGCAGGGAACTGAAAGATACAAAACTCAGCTTCTGCCTTGGGCCTCAGGAATTTGCAGTCTGCCCATGATAAAGGAATGCAAGGAAGAAAGAACATTCGAACCAAAATTCAGGTCTCACCCCAAGAGCAGTGTGGGTGAAGGGCTGCAGACACCCTGAAGGATCATTTGTGCTTGTCTCAGTGTGGCGGGAGTTCCTTGTCCCAAATTTCCCCATATTTCAAATGACGATAGAAGATAATATCCTGGCAGCTTTCCTATTTCGGTGAGGCTGAAGAAGATAAATATGCAATTCAGTTCTGGGAAAGGGAAAAAAATAAATACGCAAATAAGAACAAGCCTTCCTTTTTCAAAATGCCATTTGCTCTTCAATGCTTCCTCAATTCTTAGCCTAGAAGGGCAAATTACTGAATGTTGTGTTCATTGCATAAGGTTATTTTAAAGCTAAAGGCCAAAAGTCCTATTTACTTTGGAGAAAAAGGTTGAATCCAGCCCTCTCTCCACTTCCAGCTCACACATATTTTAGTACTGGAGTGTTTTCGACCTTTTAAATTGGCCTGTACCACACCGACATGTACAGTTGACCCTTGAACAATGTGGGTCAAAAAATCTGAATATCTCTTGTGATGTGCCCAAAAACTAATCACCTACTGTTGGCTGGAAGCATTACTGTGTCATGGACTGTTGATTCACACAGTTTGTATGTAGATGTCTTCTATCCTGTATTCTTACAATAAAGTCAGCTAGAGAAAAAAAAACATTTTTTGAGTTGTCCCAAATCTCCAAAAATTTTTCCAATACGTTTGCTGAAAAAAATCCACATGTAAGTGGACCTGCACATTGAAACCCATGCTGTTCAAGAGTCAGCTGTATTTTGATCCACACTTAAATCAGCGGGTGGCTTTAACATTCCCCCGGAGTTCATGCACTGCCCCTTTGGGTAGAATCTAAGATCCCTTCATTCATTCATTTGGTCATTGCTCAACAGAGCATTTATTGAGAGCCTACAGATGAGGCGGGGGCCTGTCATGGTGCTAGGAATACAAAAATGAGAGAGGGACTCTGAACCTGCCCTCAGACTCTCACGGACTCCTTAGGTGAGACAAATAAACAGGTCATTCTATTAAATACAATACATCCCAGGATAGAGCTCTGCCAGGGCAGCTAACCAGCAGTGGCTTAGGACATACTCAAGGAAGTTTCTGTAAAGAATTTGAGCTTATTTAAAACCTGAAGCTCCAGTGAAGGGTTGCATCATCTGCTGTTATTTCCTTTATAGCATGTACCACTGAAGGAAAATTACCCTTTCATATTTTGTTTGTTGATGTTAATACCATGAAACAGCATTCCTCAACCTCTTTTTCATCATTAGGAGAATTAGGAGAAAGCTATCTTAAGGAGACTTTGTGGACATTTTGTTCCTTAATCTCTACTACCTGTGTGTTTTTTTCTCTGTGGAAAAATATACCTACTATGTAATCCACCGTTTTAACCATTTTTAAGTGTACAATTCAGAATATTAAGCACATTCACAGTGTTGTATAAGCATCACCATGATCCATTTTCAGAACTTTTCATCTTCCCCAACTGAAACTCTGTCCCCATTAATCGTAACCCTGCATCCCTCTCCCGCCAACACACACGCAACCGCTATTCTCCTTTCTGTCTCTGTAAATTAGCCTATGTAGGTGCCTGCTGTAAGTGGATCATCCAGTGCTTGTCCTATGCCTGGCTTACATCTCTTAGCATGAGTTCTCAGGGTTCATCCATGCTATAGCATGTGTTGGAATTCCATTCCTTTTTAGACTGAAGATCCCCATGAAATTTAACACCACATAGGAAATCAGTTTATGTACTGTGGACCTTTGTGGGGCTACAAACCTCTGGGACATGTAAGATCGTGCCCCCTTTGGGCAGCGTCGCCCTGCTGAATGCCTGCATTAAATGTAAGCTCTGTGACCATGTTGGTCTTGGTCTCTGCTCCCTCCCCAGCTGCTGGCACAGTACATGGCACATAGTAGGCACTCAGAAATCATTTGTTGAATACTGCTCCAGCTTCCTCCACCACTTCTTCTTATTTCAATGCACTATTTTTAAAAATGGCTCTTAAAGTGACCACGGGTCTACCTTGACACTGAGTGCCTCTGGCTCTCCAACCAGACCCCTCAGCACGCCCATTCCTGCCATGCACCCTTCTCAGCAGTCCTGTCTTTGCCTGCTCTCTTCAACAGAAGTGAAAGATTATGAGCCGCCATTTGGTTCCAAGGTCCGGGAGCACCCCTGTGTCGAAAGCATGAAGGATAATGTGTTGAGAGATCGTGGACGACCGGAGATCCCCAGCTCCTGGCTCAACCACCAGGTGAGGGGGTGCTGTTTTGAGGGGAGAATGAGATTCAGCAAAGTAACTGTTTAGAGAAGAGAGAATCCAGATTATTGGTCTTCAATATGAGTGCGGGTACCTTTGTGTTCTGGGCTCCTGTTTATAAAAAAACTTTGTTTATAAAAAAAACTTTAACAAAGTGGGATAACCCCATTATCATAAGTTCCAACCAGCAGGTAGATACACCATTCAAAGAAGGCTCAGACTCTCTGCAAGGGCTTCTGTCACATTGTCCAAGCCCCCCGAGCTCTGGGTTAAAATATTTTCTTGATGGCCTTTGCACAGGGAGTGTATGTTTTGTTCCCTTCTGGGGTCCAAATGTTTTCTTCTGGGAATCTTCAGCTCTGGAAGGAAATACTTAGCCGAATGAGAATAAGCAGAGCGTCAGCCAGCTGGACCGAGAGGCAGCGGCCGTGTGCTCCCGGCTGTGTAGTAGCTGTGCACACAGAGCTGGGAGAGAGGAGGCCAGCTTCCCATTCTGGAATAAAAGAAAGCCGAGAGGAATAGGAAAATGCAAGTGAACAAACCGGAAGTCTGTCTGTTGGGAGCACCCTAATGGGTTATTTTTTCTCTCCAAGAAATGGGAGAGAAGACCATGTGTGGAAGGACAGTGGTTCTAGACTTACTGGGAGACCTATCCAGAGTCTTCCAGGGCATTTTGGTGAGGGCAGTGGTCGGAGAAAAAGAAGAAAGCTAGGCTGGAAGACCCCGAGGCCGTCGGGCACACTGGAGAGAGCCTGGAATGAGGACGGAGAGGCATCCATGCTCTAGTAGCTCCCTGAAAAACTGGTCTTTCTACTGAGGAAAACCTTGTGTTGCCGCCTCCTTTGGCAGAATTCCCTTATCCAGGGAAGGCTGGGGCTAAGTCACAGGTTTTCCTAAGGGCAGGGAAAACTCAGATAAGAAACAGAAACAAGTCAGGCACAACTGGGAAGACAGATGGAGCAGGAAGCCCGGTCTGTGCCAGTCCTGGCCCAGAGCCACCTCAGGGGACAGACCCTGATAAAGCCGGGGGAGCGCGTGCCCCAGGCCTGCAGTAGCCCAGGGCTTCTTCCCCGACTGCAGGCAAAGCCTCTTTGACTAGAAAATGCAAGACTGCTTGATGTTCACTCTGAAATCAGAAGTCACTAGTGTGGTTCCTTTCAAACTCTTTTGCCTTCCTGCTGTACGGCTTTTGTAATGAAGCCATTATTCATGATGATAAAATTCTGCAAAGAATCTGCATAATACATTTTTTCTCTTAATGAGATTTGTTGCCCTATTGATTTCAAGTTAATGCTTAATATTTAATTTAATTTACTGCCTGTAATTACAGTGCCAGAATAAAATAAATGTTACTTGTGTACCAACAATAACACTCCGCTCTTAACAGGGCCATCAATCAATACCATCAATTAGGTGAATTACACAATTAATTCAACATCATGAACTCACTCCCAGGGCCAGAAGGGAGGGGGAGGCTCTTAGGTGTCGGGGAGGTGATTGGCAGGAGAGAGCAAATGAGGGACGTGCTGGTTCTCAGGACAGTGTTGGGATGTATCTGTCCCACCTGGGCCTCTTGTGTGAGGGAGCTGTCGGGACAGTGTACAGCCTCTGCAGGCAGGAGCATACTCTTGTTTCTGCCTGTTTCACCCCTGCTTTGTTTCCAAAAAGGCCTTGTAATGAGAAAAATATTCGCAGTGCAAATTAAAAATTAAGGCTGAGAAGGAAGAAGTTTGCCACCATCCTGGCAGCCTTTCCTGAATGGGCCTTCTGAATGGGGCCTTTATGGGGCTAAGTGGATCCTCTGAATCGGCCTAGAGTCAAGCAGGTCTGACCGACACAGGCAGCTGTTGCAGATGGTCCAGCCCCTGGCCTTGCAGAGGGTGAGGCACAACAGAGGGTATCCTGGCAGGGCCTGGAAGCTACTGAACCACTCCACCAAATGTGTGGCCTTTCCAAAACAGAACCAGACTCATGCCTGGACTCCACTTGGACTGTGGTGTGTGGCCCTGTTAGAAAGGTGTATGTGAGTCCAACTACAAGACACCACAGAAGAGGCAAAAACAGAGGCAGCACAAAGTTAGTGGGTGCCAGGGCCTCGGGGCAGGGGTGGAGGGGTGACAAGGTGGAGCACAGAAGATCTGGGGTGGGAAAGATATTCCACATAATACTGTGATGGAGGATATTGTCGGGATAGATTTGTCAAACCCAGAGCTGTGCCCTGGTCAGTGCCGAGTCAGTGTCAGCTCATTAATTACAACAGATGAAGACAGTGGCTGTGTAGGAGGTAGTGTACATGGTCTGTGGAAACCCTCTGTACTTTCACCCCAGTTTTGCTATGAACCTAAAACTGCCTTAACCAATAAAGCCTGAAACTGCTCTAAAAAACCAGAAAGGCATGAAATGCTATTAGGGGCCACTTCATGGGGATTCTCAGGTATCAGAGGTGCCACCACACCCCAGAAGCCTACTAGAGGGTCCTTGTGCTGGCTCTCCACATCACCACCTGTCATGATCCAGTGGCAAAAGAGCAAGCAGGGACAGCAGGTTTCCAAAGCAGTGACAGCCCCTCTGTGCTACACACAGCTGGTAACCTCATGTGGAGGGTGCTCAGGGAGAACGGGCTGAGGGCATGGGCAGGAACAAAGTTGGCTGGCCACCTTGCCCTCCAGGGAGCCCACCAACCCAGCAACTCAGGGAGCCTGTGGGCTTCTCTCCTGCTGCAGGGCATCCAGATGGTGTGCGAGACCCTGACCGAGTGCTGGGACCATGACCCCGAGGCCCGGCTCACGGCCCAGTGCGTGGCCGAGCGCTTCGGTGAGCTGGAGCACCTGGACAGACTGTCAGGGAGGAGCTGCTCCGAGGAGAAGATTCCCGAAGATGGCTCACTGAACACTACCAAGTAGCTCTTCCAGGGCGGGCTGGGCCCAGTCTAAGGAGGCCGCCCCTGTCGCCAAAGAACCGAGGCAGCAGGAAGCTGCCCCTGAACCCACGCTTCCTGGAAACCAGGGGTCACTCCCCTCCCTGTGTGCTGCGGCCACGGGCAGGAGGTCGGCAGCAGGACGTGGGACATGAAGCATTCTATGCCTTTGACGTTGTCATGGGATAAGCTGTGTTAGCTCTTCCTCAGGAAATGAGATTGATTTTTACAATAGCCAATAACATTTGCACTTTATTAATGCCTGTATATAAATATGGAATAGCTATCTTTTATATATATCTATATATATATGTCTATATCTATATATGCAGCCATACTCTAGACAGAGATGAAGAAAAAGATCAGCCATCCCAGGAAATTGGTCTGATTGGAGAGCTCCAGAGCCTAGCGCCGAAGGACAGGACCCGTGACAGCATTAGCACTTGACAGTCGCTCCTGCGCTGGGTCTCTGGCGGCAGGAAGGGGACTCGGCATCAGGAGAGAGGCCCCACGTCCCAGGACCTGCTCTGGCCACATGGCACTTGCTTTTGCAGGATAATCCCCTGTGCATGTGTCCTTTTCTGGCCAGGGAGCTAAGTACTGTCATGTAGTTTGGGGACCACATCCTGGGGCTCTCATGTGCCATTGCTTCTCCAGGACTTTTCACTTGAGCTTCAAGCGCTCATCTGGTTTGTAAGCCACCTTCCACAACTAGCTCAGAGACTCTGTCCCAGCTAATAGCTTAAATGTGTTGAGCCCCATGTTTGTCCTGCACAGGCTTCACTGGTGGAAAAATCAGGACAAAATTCCCCACCTTCTTGCTTTACCATCTGCTAACGAGCACTTGTAATTGTTTTCATCCCTCCCCATACCTGTTGCGAGTCTCTACCCTCCACCCTCTTCCCTTCCCTATAAGGGAAGAAACCGTCCCTCCGGGGTCTGTTGCATTTAATTTCTCATCACACTGGCATGAGTCTTTAGCTTTCTCTGCACACACCAGTGGGTGCCATCTTTCTGGGCTCCTGCATGCTCAGACACGTTGACCTCGTGGAAATGATTGGAGCTGCCTGATTTCTGCCAATCAGGACGGTTTCACTCAGCAGTCTGAACATGGCTTTTGCCCGGCCAGCACAGTGTTTAACAAAATGGAGCCACTTTTTAAATATTTGGAGATTTTGCAAGAAAGAGTCTGGGTGCCCAAGTGAGGAAATAGATAGTAGATGCTTTGCAGTCCTCTCCCAGCCACATTATTCACGGAATGAAGGTGTGGACACACTTATAAATTGCTTCACTTGTCACTGTAAGCATTTGCATTTCCCACTGCCCACCCTACCCCAGTCTGAGAATTAAACCCACTCCTAACCTAGGACCCCTGTAAGAAATGTGCATTAAATCAGTCATTCTCTGGCTGTGTAATGTGATTTCAATTCCCTCCCTCCACCCCATCTAGTGTTAAGATTTGAAGTTGACCTTTTTTTGGACTAAAGGGGTCTCCTCTTGGTGGTCCTGGTTAACCCAAGTCTCTTTGGCCTGTAGGTCTAGAGTTTTCCTCTGCATTAGCAAGGGAAGCTCTCTATCATTAGAAGCATTTGCTGTGGATTCTGGTCTCTCCATCATACCAGCCTTCCCAACCTTTGCAGAATTTGCCAACAAGGACTTGAACGGGGACACAGAGTCCCATCTGCAATTAGGAAATCTGTATCTACGTGGACAAGAACAAAGAGTGACCTTTAATACTCCATAGGAAACTTGTTAATCCGCAAACAAGTGTTAATGCTGCAAATATCAATCTCTTTTTTTTTTAATGTTTTCGAAGCTACCTACCTTCAGCCAAATAGGACTATTACGGAGGGACGGGCAGTGAGCAGATCAGCTCGAACTGGATCTTGGAATGTCTCATCTCAGTGGGGTTTTAGCAGCCGTGCTGGAGTTTGGGACTAGGTGAAACTTCTAGGCCCCCTACCCAGTGGCAGTAGGCTGAGACAGTGAAGGACAGCTTGGCTACAATAAATACCACGCGAGTGCCCAGAAATGCCTTGCACCTTAAGGGCTTCCTGTCGCTGTCCCAATAGCTGTTGCTTATTGACCTCTAGTGGTGAATTTCTAGAATACTGGCCCATTAATGGGATTTTCCAAGATTCAAAAGCTTTATCACTTCTGGGTCATCATCAGCAGAAACTGGAATGTAGTGTCAGATGATAACTGTGGCTTGTTTTAAGTTTTTTTTTTCTTATTCAAGAAAAAGACCAAGGAATAACATTCTGTAGTTCCTAAAAATACTGACCTTTTTTTCACTACTATACATAAAGGGAAAGTTTGTATTCTTTTATGGAACACATCAGCAGTACTCATGTATTAAAACAGGAATGTGAATGCTATATACTCTTTTTATATCAAAGGTCTCAAGCACTTATTTTCATCCTATGCATTTTTTGTCTTTTATATAAATAAAATGTTTATTAGATTGAATAAAGCAAAAATACTCAGGTCAGCTTCCTGCCTCCTGTTCCTGCTCATCCTAAATGATCCTGTTACCTTCCCATGGACATTTTGCAATTTATGCAGAAGTCACAAGACAAATCCTCTCCAGCCTTCCCATACTCATGGTCTTCCTCAACTGACAATCTCGTGTTCTTTGTTTTAAAAAGCAATCACAGAAGTTCAAACATTTGAGATGCAGCGGATGCTGTCGGTGGCACACCCCTTGTCCCAGGGCCCTGGCATGATGTCCCTGGCAAGGTGTCCCTGTGCATCTCCTGGCCACCATCTTAGCCTGTCCCCACGGTCCCCCCAGCCACCTTCAGCCATGTGACTGCTTCTCCCAGGCCTTGGGACAGACGAGGCTGCTGCTCAGAGCATATGCTCCAGTTCTCACAAGCAGGCTGATGACGGTCTTTTTCATTTCTGTCACCTGTCAGCTTCCTCTTCTTTCCACTCAGCCACAGCAGCACCAGCGGGCTTTGAAAGGGCTTTTGTGCATCGCTGGAAGAATGTGCCCTACACTGTTGCCTCCGTGTCATTGCTTGAAGGGTTCTGGTGACAAAGTCTCTGATTCACTGTCCAAATGTCTGGGCCACCCGTTTTGGAATCTGAGAGAATCTATGGCTTCTTCTGAGTTACCAGCTGGGTTCTAAATAGTTAAGGTTCAAAATAGTTAACGTAGTAATGCCTACATCAGGGTTTCTAAACCTCAGTGCCACTCATGTTTAGTGTTGGATAATTCTTTGAGGAATGGGCCGATCCTGAAGGTTGTAGGCTGTGTAACAGCCTCCCTGGCACCACACAGATGAGACAACTGAAAATGTCACCAAACATTGCCAAATTTCCCAACGGACAAAATTGCTTCCAGCTAAGAATCACTTAGCTAGATGATGTGGTCCATTACCTCTGTGGGCACTACTTACAGTTCTATTTTAACTAGTAGCTTGACAGTTTTAGTGGTTGCCCGCTCCTCCACTTACCTGCTTTGTGACCTGGGCAAGTTACTTAACCTCTCCATGCCTCAGTTTACGTGTGTAAAATGGGGCTGCACAGGCTTCATCCTATGCAGGTACATTGTGCTAAGGAATACATGCATGGCCTTTTTCCCCCAATTATTCTTGAATGTGGAAAGCATGCAATACACCTTGGTCAGTATTAAGCTGGTTTGCTGTGCCAAGGACTGCCTTCGCCAAGGCAGATTTTTGAGGTAAATCCTTGGAAGCATTAACAACCCAGAGGAGAACTGGACACACTATGGGCCCAGAGCAGGGAAGGCCCCCTCCCGCGTGAGTATCAGCCCTCTGAGGAGAGCTCCAATTCACTGAGTAGTGGCTGGGTCATCAGATTTAAGCCTCCCCCAGCCCCATGTGAGGTAGATATGCATCTTACAGATGAGAAACCACACTCAGAGAATGCAAGGAAGAAATCTAGGGTCTCACAGAGGTGGTCTGGGTGCCACGCCAAGTCGTCCTGGAAGTGGAATTTGGAGTGACCGGGAATCATACTTGCTTCCCTTCTCTACTCCCATCATCTTGAAGGAAGGGAACTGGCCTGCCCAGCTGGGGAGGAGCTGAACCTGGTGAATGCCCTCCTCTGCCCGTGGGGTGTGATCTGTTCTCATCTCCTCCCGGGGTCTGTTTGCTCCATGGGGTCCAGGAAAATGCTTTTCCTTCTCCTGCCCACATGATAAGCATTGTCTAAATTCTTGAGAGAAAACAACCTAAAGGTAGATGAATGTGTGTGCATATCATGGCCTGATATGTGCGATGAGGCCTCAATGATTTCTAGTTGTGCCAACTTTCACACACACGAGCTAAGTGGTCTGTCTTTACTTTAACACACATTGGGAAAAACTAACACATTAAGCCTGGGCTTCCACAAATATTAATCCCTACTAATGGCTCACATTTATTGAGGACTCAGTAAGCAGCAAACGCTATTATCAGGGTTTTATCTTCTTTATCTTCACCACAAACCTATGAGGCCATCTTAATTCCATATTAGAGATGAGGAAGCTGACGCAGAGGGCGGGGATTGCTCAGAGTCCCATGGTGAGCAATCTTTGGGCCAGGATTCGACCTGAAGCAGTCAGACTCCAGAGCCCACACCCCAACCTTGAGCACAAGCCAAGCTGGAGTTAGCACAGGTGGAGACTGAAAAGCCAGAGGGTCTGATTCGTTACCCTAAACACACAAGAGGAAGATGCAGTTCGCACTAGTGGGGAGGGGGTGGCCACCAGGGAGCCCAGGGAGAGAGTCATTCCTCAAAGGCACACGGACTCTGGGCTCCAGGCCAAGAGCTGCAGCCAGAACAGGCGCCAAGAGCTGCTGACCCCTCTTGTAGGCCCCGTTTTGCCAGGGTTATCTCAGTTTTCTTACTGCAAGCTCAGGAGCATTCCTAGTTGGCAATACATCTGCAAGTTTCCTCAGCCGGAATGCAGTCCCCTGCCCCAGTCAGCAGCTTTTGAACGCAGCTGCTCTGTACCCAAGAGTTTCTGTTCTGTGGTGGTGGGTTTTGTATTAAGCTCTGTATGCAAATGACAAACCAATGGGGCCGTCCTGAGAGAGCTGCCTTCCCTAGGTGGCAGACAGGAAACCTTTCATGGAGACAAGTGTGTCCATCCTTTTTTCACAAAAGTCACTGCATTTGGCATCAGCTCATTTTTGTTCATTTTCCTCTTGACATGGGCTGCCTAATCACTGCTTATCACATTTCCAATTAGTTTTTTTTCCCCTTGAATAATTATAGCTCCAGACTATGGGTTTGGGGCCAAGGCTTGCAGGTTTATTTTGCAAACTGTGCTGATAAAAGCAAGATTGTGAACTTTCCCACATTACATGACCTGCCAATCAGACTCATACAGTATAATTTAATTCTAATACACCTCTTGATCTTTGGTGCATTTAAAAATAACTTGTTAATAGTCTTCCTATTCTAATTAAACTAAAATTGCACACACTGTGAAATATTTGCTACACTCACACACACACACACACACACACACACACACACACTTGATCCTTAAAATTACTTCTGCTTGCAGCCTGTGCCTCCACAGGGCTCCCAAAATGGCAGAATAACTATTGTCCTGATGCCATAGGGTCATCAAAAAAATATAAAATGCCTTTTTGAATTTCATGCTTTGTCAAAACATACTTAACAAAATTGTTAAAATTGGGACCTCTAGAGCCAGCCCCACTGGGTTCAAATCCCAACTCTGCCAGGACTAGCTGTGAGACTTTGTACAAGCCTCTTAACCATTCTGTTGGCTTCTTAATGTGTAAAATGGGGTTAATGATAGAACCTGCCCAGGAGAGTAGTAAGAATTGCTGTAAGCGTAGTTACTGTTGTAGAAGTGGTTTTAGAACAGAGACTGGGGCACATAAGTCTTTGTTGTTCTTATTGTCTGCATTCTACTTGAAAATGAAGCTGTGTTGTAATTTTTAAAGATGCACCGTTCCCCACTTCTTTGGGTAAAATGGAATCTGTGAAGATGAGCCATGTTAATCTATAACTGCAGGCAGCCCGCCCCTTATCTGCGAGGGGCCCTGCATGGCCGTGGAGTAAATACAGGACTCCAGGGCTCTGGGCCACAGGAAGTGGGGTCCTGGTCCAGCTCCACCTTCTGCCATTCCATGATTTTCATCTCTTGCTCTTTTGCCCCATCTGAGATCTCTTCCCTGTCCTGTGTACATTAGAAAACTGGAGAAAGATGAGAGAATAAGTAAAAACACATAGGAAACATTAAATAGTATTAATGTAACATATAAGTCATTACTTTTTTTTTGACATGCATATGTACACTGAAACTCTGCTGGAACATTAGATCCACATTAATTAGTGTCATTTTATGTCATTTCATATATATATATATATATTTGTTCATCATCTGAGCAAACCCACAATGGGGAAGGGGAGGTATTATTTTCTCCACTTTGAAGTTGCAGAAATGGAAATAAGTTTCATTACACAGTTTGAACCCAGGTGCCTATCAATACAAACTGTCTACTCCTCCAAGTTTGTTATCTCCAAACTTATTTCCTTTATCCAACAGACACAAGTGGAATGCAGAGAGGTGTACCACTCCAGCTCTGCTCGTGTCTTGAAAGCAGGACCTCTATGTTACTGGGCATCTTATCCCAGCATCCAGCACAAAGTGGAGCACACAACAGTTATTCAGTAATTTTTATTGAAGGAGGAAGTGAGGGCTCATCTTGGCCTTTAGAAATCCACGATCCAGCTAAGGAGACAGGCTCGTACAAATAAACCGAATGACACCGGGAGATCCTGATCAGTGATACCTGTGGGGGTGAAAGAGCCTGGGGCCGAAAATGCCTGGTTTTTGCAGAGATTCTTGATGAGAACTTGACTTCTGCCCCCTCCTCACCCCATCTGCCCACGTGGGTGTAGTGCCCCAGCCTCCCTGCCACCTGGGCAGGGTGGCCTTGCCTCTCCTGCCCTCTTCCAACTCTCTTCCATATGCTACTGAACCAAGCAGTTCCAAGTCACTCAAATTCAACCCAGGGGACATGATCCTCCACCTAGCAGTGGGAGGAGTGACAGGAGGACGATGCTGTAAAAGGAGCACCAGTACTTTACAGTATGTACAGTCTTGTCCATAAAACAGGAACTAACTCCTGAGGTTTTACCATTTGTTGTTCCAGGGTTCATGCCATGAGAATAAGGGGTAGAAGAGAGTTCTGGTTCTCCGTTCTCAGTGAAGCCTGATGCCTCCTGAGATGCCCATCATCTCCTGTGCTGGGTTTGTTGGAGTCTGTCTCACCCCTAGTTCCTTGCCTTGCTGGTGACTTGGTATCATTCCTGAGAGGTCATTGGGGCCAGAGGTCTAGATCAGCTTCCTGGGGGACCCTGGGCTACTCCCTTAAAAAACACTGTATCCTCAGGTCCCCGCCTGGGAGCAATAGGCAAGGGATCCTGCTCCAGAGACCCACCCAGCTGTCACCTCTAGAGCCTCCACATGTCTCCGCCTTCCCCCTTTTCCTCTGCCCA